CAGGGCAGCTGTGTTGCTTCCAGGTGTTGGGAAATTCAATTTAGTTACCTAAAATGAAAAGCCCCAGGACATCTCCATGGCTTGGGACCCACAGGAGAGCATCATTGACATTGGGGAAATCTTAAATATGTAGAAATCTTCAGGACTACCTTAGTCAGGGCACAGGGCACAGCACCCCGGGGTGCAGAGCGGAGAGTTCACCACTACAGCCTGGAATCACCTCTGCGACGCCTTCTTCACGACCCTTGGCTGCCTTTGCGGCTGGAAGGCGGGGGCTCAGACCCCAACACGGCCACAGGCTAGCAACATGCTTCACCTCCCTGAACTGCAATTTCTCCTTCTGTGCCTTTCTCCCAGGAGGAGTGTCCAGGCTCACTTAGCCCATGTGGCCCAGGAGCCCCGCACAGTGCCCGGCACACAGTAGGCCCTCGGCAGATGCTGTCCCCTTCTCTCTCCACCACCCTCCTGGGGTTCCCTCCTGAAACAGCCTCCCTCAGCGCCTTGAGTCTTGCACCCTAACAGGCTCTTGCATGCAGTGAGAGGGAGGCGCCCAGGCCAGCTGTCTCTGTTCAGAAGGAGACCCGGGGGTCTCCTTGACCGTGGGCTCAGGGCTCAGACCCCAACACAAACAAGCCCCGTGTGCTGCCGAGAAGCAGGTACCTTTGCTGAGGTCCAAAGGCTGTGAGTCCTGCACGAGCCTGTAGTGGTGTGGGTCCCAGGTCACACTGGAGGTGTAGAGCTTGGGGATCTGAATGTGCTGTTTGCCTCGGACATCAAACGTCTCACAGGCTGCCTGGAAGAAGGTGGAGCAGACTGGGGTTAACGGTCAGCAGCAGCAGCATCCGCACCACCGGGGCTACCACTTTTTAGGCCCTTACCATGGACCAAACACTGAGCCGTGGGCTTCATGTAAGTTCTAAGCACACTTACCTGATAGGGTGACAGCAAGGACTCAAAGAGGTGCCTGGGCTTGGCACATAGTAGCTGTTGCTACTATTATAAATATTGCTTTGTTTTTGTTTTGAGACAGGGTCTCACTGTGTCACCCAGGCTGGAGTACAGTGGTGCCATCATAGCTCACTGAAGCCTCAGCCTCCCCGTGTTCACGCAATCCTTCCACCTCAGCCTCCTGAGTAGCTGAGACTACAGGTGTGCACCACCAAGCCCAGTCAACTTTCTGTATTTTCAGTAGACACTGGTTTTGCCATGTTGCCCAGGCTGGTTTCAAATTCTGGGACTCAAGTGATCTGTCCACCTCAGCCTCTCAAAGGGCTGGGATTACAGGCAGGCGCCACTGTGCCCCGCCATTATGAATGTCAATGTTGACATCATCTTGCTGTATCCTCATGCCCACACTGGGAGAGGTCTGATTGTCCCCTTTTCGTGTTGTGAAACCACATGGAGGAGGCCCGGGCTTTGGAACCAAGCCTGCCCTGACGCACACTGTTGCTCCTAAGCACCACTGCTGAGTGATGCACTGCATGAGTGACGAGTTACCTAAATTACTGGAGCCAACCATTGCAATAAAGAGCTGTGGAGATACTGAGTGGATCCAAAGTGGATCCGCCACTGTGTGGTGCCTGTGCCCAGGCTCTCTATGGCCGAACAGACACAGTAGTTAAGAGGCGACCTAGGTAGTCAGTGGGGGAAAGATGCTAAACTAGAAGCTCCCTAAGGGCAGGGGGGGATCTGTGCCTCCTCTTCCAGAGTGGTGTGCACAGGTTGGAGCTCTTCTGGGGGGCTGAGGGAGAGCAGCAGTGACCTGCGCCCTCAGGCCCGTGGCCCTGGCCCATGTCTGGGACCACATCTACAGGACCACGGGCAGAGGTCATGCACCCAGGATGCCCAGCACAGATGTCCTAGGCATGAATGCTCCCTGTCATGTCCCTGCTGTGGAGCAGCTCTGGCTGGGAACCGACCTTGAAGTTTTGCACGGCCCTGCTGAGGAAGGCATCCTCCTGCCCACTGAGCTCATCCTCTTCCCACGTCAGGGTGAGCTGAGAGGCCCCCAGGTGGGACAGCTTCTGGTTGAAGTCATAAGCAAAGGCGCAGAACTGAGGGTACCTGCTGGAGCTGAGGACAAACACGGCATACCTGCCCGAGGACACACACAGATTCATGTCCCATGCAAGCAGCACCTGGCACCCAGCACCCAGCACCAACAGCCTGGAGGGCCAGCCCCAGACTCTCCCCCTCCAGCTGGAGCATGGAGTTGCAGCCCCTTCCAGTCCTCCCAACCCCCCAGCCTTGTCACCAACTCCTATGACCACCCCATGCTTGGCCTGAAGACCTGTGAGAGGGACTGGGTTTCCGTGGCTTGACCTGTGACACACTCCGAGGGCAAACCTCTGAGCCAGGATCCCTCTGTGCCTGGTCAGCTCTGAGAAGACCCCGTGTCTACACCCAGTTCCTTCCCCTGAGCCAGATTTTGGGTCCTCAGGGCAGGGTTAGAAGGTATAGGAGGAGGAGGGAAAAAGCTTTACCTGAATTTGTTGGTGAGCTCTTTCAGCATGAAGAGCGATTTCTTCAGTTTCTAGAAACAGAGGAAATGACAGAGTTCTCAGGCCAGGATGAATAAAAACACCGTTTTTTCCTTTCCTCGGGAAACCTGGCCACAGCAGGCAGGAGAAGGTTCACGGCCCACAGTGGAAGTTGGTTTACGTGTGGGGCCACCTGGCCAAGGACCTGGTTGTCAGCTGACAAGTTTAGCCTGTCTCTCACTCCAGCTAAACTGTAGCAACTCGTGTGGGCCCTGCCCCTTGGTGGGAGACCCAGAACAGCCTGGCCTCCTTCCATCCAGCCCTGGCAGAGGGGGCCTGCCTTATAGCAGGGCATCTCCAGAGGGCCTCCTAATGGGCCATGATTCTCTTCTGGTTTGGAACCTGGTAGAAGCAACAGCAATTGGTCCTATAGTCTCTGAAATCAGGCGGGCTCTCCAGGAACCCAAGACGATCCCAGGAGGTGTGTGACCCAGCAGAACTAGCGTCAAATCCCATGGTGAGTATTACTCCCTTTTCATAATTTATTTTTTAGTTCTTCCCCTTCAATTACATTTTCATTCTTCTGAGCACTGGAAAGACAGTCTCGAATTGGTGCTAATAGGCCTTTAATACCTCTCTCATTGCCTATCACTCTTTTTAAAAAACAAAGAAAGAGCAGGCCTTGGTCAGGGAATAGTATCTAGCTAAAATTCATTACCTTCATTTTGTTTTTATTGAATTTGTGTTTTGCTGCTTTCTATTTGTGAGAGTGATACAAGTTTCCTTTAAATGTGAATTTGTAAATACAAACAGGTAGGTCATTCACAGAAATATATTAAATGTATCATAGGAAAGGTGGCCCTCCCATATGGCAATAATTATGATGGAGGCCAGCAAATGACCTGAGTGACCCAGATGGCCCGAGCACTGACTCCCAAATGCCCTCTGTAGGACGTGCTGCATTCCCCAGACCCTTTCCTTGGTCCTCCCACGCCCTACCATCCCCTAGACCAACCAAACCTCAGGCCACCCACCTCTCCATTGCTGGCGCAGTCTCCATTCCCAGATGTGCTGGTCACCACCAACAACAGCTATGCCTCGTCCAGGCAGCTCCTCCAGCCTGTACTTGTCCATGCAGAGAACCTGGACGGTACCCAGGTGGACATCAGCCCTCAGCTCCCAGTAGATGCTCTGGCCTTCTTCCCACACCTCTCTCAGGCCAGGGCTCCTGTGCTCATCTGTCTCTTCCAGTGCCTGGCACAGGTGTGGCATGGAGGAGGTGACTGAACGGATTTGAACACATCATCCTCGATTCTCCTTCCCTGCTCAAGCCCTGAAACTAACCCATCAGGAAGCCCTGGATGCTCTGCCTCTAAAACACTGCCTATCCTATGTCTAAACTCCTCTCATCACGTCCACTGCTATTTGCAATTCTGTGTGTGTGGAAATATTTCCACAAAATTGGAATGAGCAGGTCACAGCTGCGCCTGGAGGGAATGGCCGGGGAAATGTGCCCTCGCCTTGCTGTTCTATCCGGGCCCACTCAGCTGAGGATGAGGGACCTGCCACTACCCTTCTAGCAGTTCCGGACTCCTGGGAGCTGACAGGGGAGCACCCAAGAGTGTTTTCAGTGACCTGACTGACCTGGTCATCAGTCAGTCCCATCTTGGCCTAGGCCTCTACGTGGCATAGATCACAGCTCATGCCATCGTGGCATTACACTGGCCTGTGCCCTGTCCTCAGGGTCACATCCGTCTCCCAGAAGCCGTGCGACCCTGGAAAACCCATGAACCTGTCTAACAGTCAGGTTCCTCCTCTGTGCATTGATAATGACTTTGATGCCTGGTTTGCAGGGTGCTAGGAGGGTAGAGGGAGGTGTACGCTGGAGAGCTCCTTGAGGGCAAGGCCTGGCTCTGTGTCACTCACTGTCAGATTTACAGCCCAGGGCTGGCCCAGCATGTGGCCACCATTCCCTAAGAATTGGATTTGCTTCATCAGTGCTACAGGCAGGGGCTAGAGCTTAGACAGACCCGCTGTGTCCTATCTTCTTTATCTGAAGCTTACTCATTCTTGCCCCTTTCACATGCACCCTGCAGAGCAGGTGTTCACTGAGCTTCCACAAAATTCACTAGAGCAGCTGATGGATATTGAGGCCTGAGGTCACCTGCCTGGGTCTCTGGGGTCCTCAGGGTCTCCATGTGGCCCCCGTGGTCTGACACTGAGGACACACCTGTAGTTTGCTGATCCCAGAGGGAGGGGTATGTGCCACCTGGGGTGGGGAAGATGTTGAGGCATGGCAGGTGGCTCCTGGGACTGCCCCCCAGGGTTCAGACAGGCTGGGGGTTTCCTGCCACACACCCTCATCCAGGGCTGTTGGGCCTGGGATACAGCCCCCAGTCAGAACTCAGGTGGGATGTGCCTTGGCTGTCACCCAGCTCCCTTGCCACTTTACATGGGGACCTGTCTCCACAGTGGGTGATTGGGCCCGGACGTGGGTCACCCTCAGCCCTCCTGGGCTGCTCAGTCCATGCCAGGACTGGCTGTTCCCACACCTGGCTGAACTCTTGGCTCTGGCTCTGGGCCCACGGTCCCACCTGTGCCCTCTCCCTGAATGCTCTGGGGGTCAGAGACACTGATTCCCTCGTCTCCCTGGCTCAAGCCTTGTTGTCCTGGCACCCTTGGAGGGGTCTGCAGGAATGAGGGGCCTCTGCTGCTCTCTGAGGCTGTCAGTGCTCACAGGGAGGGGTGGGGGCTCCCACAAATGGGTCTGGCTCCTCCAGTGCCTTTGAGGGCCCTGTGAGGGGAACAGAGGGCCACCGTGGAAAGTGGGAGGGGGCTTATTGGAGGGTCTTGCCCACATGCCCCTCCTGCGTGCACAGCACGTCCAGTACACTGAGCGCCTGCCCTGAGGACTGGTGGGTCTACTGTACATTCTTAGAGTCCGGGAGGAAGAGGAGGAAGAAAAGGTGAAGAGGAAGGTCCAGGTAGTAGGGTTGGGGGTCCTGGGCACTCCTTCACTATTGACTGCCCCAGAGGGTGACTCGAGTGGGGACCTGGTACTGGAGCCCACCTGGGGGTGGCAGGTCCCCATGCTTCCTTGTTAGTTTCTTCATAGAAGTCCGAAGGTGTTTCAGAACAGGATCATCGTCCAGGGCCCAGGTATGAAATAACTGGTCCTGAAAACCTGCCCACAGGCCAGACCTGGATGTCTTCATGAGGCGCTCTAGAGACAAGGTGGGCATAAGGCCAGAAGAGTTCCCTGGGAGAGGTCAGAGCCCACAACCCATGGCCACTTCAGTCTCCCACTGGGCAATGCCGGATCCTTTCGTGGCCACTCCAGGGGTCCAGATATATACAGAAGGCTGTGGCTAGGGGGGTAGCCTGGGCAAAAAAGTGCTCACCACACTCCCGACTTTCATCTGCATCATGTAGGGAATGGGCTTGGTGTCATTGTGCACTGCTCCAGCCCTCCCGGACAGACCTCCCTCTGGGCCAGAACAGAGGATCATGAGGACAGTGTGAGGAAGCTGCCCTCCGACAGTCAGGGTCTAACCCTAGTGCTCCCCAGGCCCCACTGGCCACACGTGGACTTACTCCTCTGAACCTTAAAGGCAATGCTTGTTATTGCCATCAACACCTGTTCCCCTTCCAGCAAATACATGTCCCACAGGTGCAGGGTGAGCCCAAGAGAGATCTGTGGGGACAGCAGGCACGGGAGAACCTGGCCCTTCCAGGCTGCGGCTGGTGGCTCGAGCTGCGCCCATTGGGGCTTCAGTCCTCAGAGTCAGTGACCTTCCCCATGAGGGTCACCTGACCCCTCCAGGACACTGGGTCAGACAAGGTCTTGCAGCTCCTCATGGCGGGCACTCATTGCAGTGAGGAGGTGGCTTCTGGAGAGAGGGGCTTGCCCAGGGCTTGATGCTTCCCTGAGACCTCCTAAGTCAGGTCCTGGCCCAGTTCACCCATGAGCCACTACACCCGGCTTGGGTTTTTAAGATTAAATATATGACTTCAAAAGAAAGTTAGTGCTTGTAGTGGACACTCTCATGTCTTCTGGAAATTGAATTCACTTGTCCTCCATCTGGGTATATGGGTGGACAATTTGGAGAGGTGCTAAGTGAGGATATTCTCTGCCATATTCACCTTTCTCACCAGTTTCTTAGATCCCCTTCTGCTGTAGTTTATTCAATACTCTGCCAAAATGGAATAATCACAGAAAAGTCCTCATTACTCATTAGTGTGAGGTTTTAACCCCATCCATCTGTGGACCACTAGATATCTGAAAACCATAAAAAAAAGCAACAACTAAAATGTTTTCATTTATTTCCCCTTACTTCAATGGGTATTCAAACTAACTCTTCAGAAATAAGTTAGCTATAGCCCGACACAGACACTCATGCCTGTAATCCTAGCACTTTGGGAGTTGGAGTTTGGTGAATTGCCTGAGCTCAGGGGTTCGAGACCAGCCTGGGCCAAAAACCCCGTCTCCACTAAAAATACAAAAAATTTGTATTGGTGGCACAGGCCTATGGTCTCAGCTACTCGGGAGGCTGAGGCAGGACCTCCTGAGGCAGGAGGGTCAGAGGTTTTAGTGAGCCAAGATCATGCCACTGCACTGCACTCAGTCTGGGTGACAGAGCAAGACCTGTCTCAAAAAAAAAAAAAAAAAAAAAAAGAGAAAGAAAGAAAGCAGTTAACTAGTAGTAGGGGGAATATCCTGTGGTAACATCTGTACTTATCCAAAGATAAAGAAAAAGACAAGAAAAACGCTGTCTCTACTAATAATTTAAAAATTACTGGACATGCTGGCACACACCTGTAATCCCAGCTACCTGAGAGGCTGAGTCACAAGAATCCCTTAAACCTAGAAGGTTGAGGTTACAGTGAGCTGAGATCGTGCCAATGCACTCCAGCCTGGGTGACAGAGAAAGGTTCTGTCTCAACAACAACAACAACAAAAATTACTAGCATGTCAAATAAATTGCATAGATTGCATTGCTTTGGGCTTGCCTTTATTTAGCAAGTAAAGAGAATGAGGAATGTTCTTTCCATGCATTTCCTATGTTCTTTGTGCTTCATGAACTAATACTTCTGTTACTCCTTTAAGGAAAAACATTTCCTAAGAAATCAGCAGGTCACAGGAGGGTCAGAGGTTTTAGTGAAACGAGATCATGCCACTGCACTCAGTCTGGCTGACAGAGCAAGACCTGCAACTGGCTTTGTAGAATTACTTCAGCCTAACCCTCTTTTTAAATAAGAAACCTAAGGCCATGAGGATCAGGACTGGATGTGTATTCTAAAGCATCTTGTTTGATGCCTAGGTTGGAAGAATGTCACTATGAGTCAACTAAGCAATAACTGGAATATTATTTATTCCTGAAAGCTTTCTCTTATTTTAACTCTGTAGTTTCAGAACCTCAAGGTCTGTGAATCATTACCCATCTATAAGATGAATCAAATTTAACTAAATGCTAGTATTGTGAAGAGTTAGTTTTTTTCCATTTCTGTTTACTTTTATACTATCCTGATAAACATATGAATATAATGAGTATGGAATAACCAGTAGTAGAGATTGCTCTCGCCTTCATTCATTCATTTGACCAATATTTAATGAGCATCTACTATGTGCTGGGCTCTGTACTAGATGCTAAGCATATATGTGTGAATAAGATAGAGGCAGTTTTTTCTCCCCTCATGGAGCTTCAATTCTATTGGCCTATTGTTCTTTCTTATATATTTGGGAAGGGAAGATTTATATTAGTAGTCTACAGAGCATCTATTTAATCTTTTTTTTTTTTTTTTTTTTGCCACACCTAGGCACTGTCACAGGGCAGGACAAAGTCTTCAGTAAAATTGGAGAGCATAGTCATTGCCTGGACATTTATCTGTGTCCAGTATAACTCAGGTCTGTATTGAGCTGCTCATATGCTAATACATTCCACCTGATGAAGGTTCGTGGTGTTTCAGAAAAGGCAAAAGAAACGCTCCGGACAGGCAGGTTCAGAACCTGTCAAACACAAATTTCACTTGTAAAAATAGATTTCTGACTATTCAGATTTGAAAAGGTAATTTAATACAATTTTACCAAACAAAAAGATGATTGCATATTATAAGTGGAAATGTAGAAGATTAGTACCACAGCATGTAGGACATGGCTGTATATGTTGGATTTAAAGCCAGTTCCTGAGTATTCAGTAGCTTGTTAGCCAATCTATGAATTTTTTTTTTTTTTTTTTTTTTTTTTTTGAGGGAGTCTCACTCTGTTGCCCAGACTGGAGTGCAGTGGTGCGATCTCGGCTCGTGAAAACCTCCACCTCCTGGGGTTCAAGAGATTCTTCTGCCTCAGCCTCCCGAGTAGCTGGGACTAAAGGCATGGGCCACCATGACTGGCTAATTTTTGTGTTTTTAGTAGAGATGGGCTTTCACCATATTGCCCATGCTGGTCTTGAACTCCTGACCTTGTGATCTGCCCGCCTCAGCCTCCCAATGTGCTGGGATTACAGGCGTGAGCCACCGCACCTGGCCAATCTGTGGATCATTTAAAACTCAATTTTATTTCCTCTTGGTAACAGTCAAGGAAAGAAGAGAGAACTTCATTTTGAAGATGAAGGAAACATAATTCCTTTGGGGTGAAAATTTAAAAGGTTGTTTCTCACAGACCCTATAACATAATCCATAATTCCTTTTATGGCACCTATTAATTACCTTATTATTTTAAGTATGTTTTAAAGGACTCTATTTAGAGTAATGGGTTTCCTTTAACTGAGCTTCTTTTTAGTTCTGATCTAATACCCCTTTTAAATGGATCAAGCCAAGACAGAACTGAACAACTTTTGGCAAGGGTAAGATATTTCTGTTAAATGGCTGTTTTGCAAATAACTGTGTACTTCTTAGATAGGATCCTGGATTATATTAAGACAGACATGTTTAATGAAATTATGCATTCCATTCAAGATGTGTGCCTCTCCAGGCCACCTGAATTTTGATGACAGCCATTCTCAGGTCATGTGGTGTTATTTTGGTCTTTATGGATTATGTGGGTGAAATGTTAAATTCTTACTTGCCTTCTTCTTTTTTTTTTTTTTTTTTTTTTTTGAGGTGGAATCTTGTTCTGTCACCCTAGCTGGGATGCTGTGGCACGATCTCAGCTCACTGCAACCTCCACCTCCCAAGTTCAAGCGATTTTCCTGCCTCAGTCTCCCAAGTAGCTGGGATTACAGGCACCTGCCACCATGCCCAGCTTATTATTATATTTTTAGTAGAGATGGGGTTTCACCATGTTGGCCAGGCTGGTCTTGCACTCTGACCTCAGATGATCGGCTGGCCTCAGCCTCCCACTTACTTGCTATCTTGTTTGTTTTTTGTTTTGTTTTGTTTTGCTGTCAACCAAAAGGGCATATAGGCAGAAAATTTGCTTTTAGCTGTTTATAGCGCTTTGTAAAATATTTTTATTTTTTTCCCTTTCTAGCTTATGAGGTAAATAATAAAATGGCCGTATATATCAACAGTGCAGATATCCCCTCTTTGACTGCGGCCCTGATGCACACATTATAGACATAGAGACATATTGCAGGTAATATACTGGACTCGAGACTTTTTTGTTATCACAGGAGTTTTTGTTTTGTTTTGTTTTTTAATTCCTGTATAGGATATGTGCACATGTATTTAAAAGGACAAAGAGTAAAATCTGAGAAATAAATGCCATGCTATAGGGATTTGTTTTACTTTTTTGTTTTTTATTTTTATTTTTTGTCAGCATTATAAAATTCTGAAAATATCTAATAGCTCTTGCTATTTCCTGGCGAAGTTGGCTAATATTCATCACTGGGTAATATACTTCCATTCTGGGAGACCTAGCTAGCTAGCTGTAACCGTGAACTAGTCAATGGTCATGTATAGACAGTAACATTGTGGGTTAGAGTGTGCTTTCATCTGGCTTTGAAGATAATATGGAGGGGGAATGATTTACTATACTTAGTATATTGTTTGAGAAAACATTAAATGAGTATGTACCAATAAAACTAAATAAACTCTTAAAGATTTATATGGAGGGTATGTTAAAAATATAGTAGTACAGGCCGGGCACGGTGGCTCACACCTGTAATCCCAGCACTTTGGGAGACCGAGGAGGGCAGATCACGAGGTCAGGAGATAGAGACCATGCTGGCTAACACAGTGAAACCCCGTATCTACTAAAATACACACACACACACACAAAATTAGTCAGGCATGGTGGCGGGCACCTGTAGTCCCAGCTACTTGGGTGGCTGAGGTAGGAGAATGGCATGAGCCATTGCACTCCAGCCTGGGCGACAGAGCAAGACTCCATTCCCCCTCCCGCCAAAAAACATATATATACACACACATATATATGCGTGTGTGTGTATATATGTATTAGTACAAATAGGAAGGCAATTTGTGTGTGCGTGTGTGATAGGGTCTCACTCTGTCACCCAGGCTGGAGTGCAGTAGTGCAATCACAGCTCACTGCAGCTTCAACCTCCCAAGCTCAAGCAATCCTCTTACCTCAGCGTCCTGAGAAGCTGGGACCACAAGCACATGCCACCGCAACTGGCTAATTTTTTAAAAGTTTTTTGCAGACACAGGGCTTTGCCCTGTTGCCCAGGCTGGTCTCTAACTCCTGTGTTCACAAGGTTTTGCTATGTTGCCCAGGCTGGTCTCTAACTCTTGTGCCATCATGCCCAGCTGATCCCACTTTCTGACTTTGACCACTGCATTGAGGCGGATATACTGGCAGTATTGTTATCATTGGGGAAACTAAGGCCAGGGAGCTATGCCTTAGTTTCCAGGGGCTGGGACTGTTTCCACAGCTGCTTTCACATAAGCCCTGGTGGCCTGCAAAGCCTCTCAGCAGGAAAGACAGGGATGGCTGTCACCGGCAGGCACAGGCTCAGCCCCTCAGCTAGGTAGGGGGGCCGGAGGATGCCAGGTAGCACTGGCTCCCTGGCCCAGGGCTCACCACTCTCGTCCACGCCCTCCAGGTGCACTGTCTGGTGGGGCACAGGGCTGTCCACCATACACTCCAGGATGCCTTGGACCAGGGCTGGCTGGTTGCCTGGTTCTCCCTAGGCCCCGCACATGTAGTTCAGGCCTTCGCCGTCTTCACAGGAGAGTTCCACCAGGATGGTGAGGCAGCTGGGAAGAAAAAAGAAGCCTCAGGTGGGCCGGGCACTGTGGCTCATGCCTGTAATCCCAGCACTGTGGGAGGCTGATGTGAGTGGATCACCTGAGGTCAGGAGTTTAAGACCAGCCTGGCTAACATGGTGAAAACCTGTTATAGCCACTCTTAAGTGGCCATAAACAAGATCTCTGCAGCGCTGTGACATGCTTGTGATGGCTATGATGCTCACGCTGGAGGTTGCTGGTTTACCAGAATGAGGGCAAGGAACTCCTGGCCCACCCAGGGTGGAAAACCGCTCAAGGTGTTCCTAAACCACTAACAATGGCATGAGTAATCTGTGCCTTAAGGACATGTCCCTGCTGCAGATAACAAGCCAGAACCTGTCCCTTTGTTCTCTGTAAAGAATACTTTTATCCATAAACTGCAGAAATAATGTTTATCATGGGCTGTCAATAAATAGATGGGTCAAACTCTGTTAAAGGCTCTCAGCTCTGAAGGCTGTCCGCCCCGATCCCACTTTGCACTCTATTTCTTTGTCTGTGTTTTTATTCCTCTAGTGCCACTGGGTTGGGGTCCCCATGACTGAGCTGGCCTTGGCAAGTGGCCTCCAAATGTGAGGCTCGAACCTGGGTTGAAGGGCCACCGGAGTGATGGTTGGAGAACATGGAACTATGCTGGAGGACACCCAAGTGCTCTTAAGCAATCCCCGTGATGAGTAAGAAGGGGAACTCGGAAGCATCAGGGTAACAGTGGGACAAGGGTCCAGCAGGCACAAGGCTTATTTGAGTCTGCTTTGGCAGCTCCTCAGAAAAGGAGGAGTGAAGGTTGGCACTAGCCGACTTATGCAACTTTTTAGTGCAGTAGAGAAAGAAATACTGCCCCTGGTTTCCGAACCAAGGAACTATGGATGTAGAGGTCTGGGAAAACGTAGGCAGCACACTGAAAAAGGCATATAAGGATGGTGCTGAGGATATTCCCATAACTGCCTGCTCAGTGTGGGCTTTGATTCATTCCACCTTGGAACGTTTTCACACTGATGATAAGGAGAAAGGAGACAAAGATGAGGGGGAGTGTGATAATGTTTTGGAAAAGATAAAAGAACACATCTGTCAACCGCTTAAAGAGACCCAAGAAGGGGAAGCTTGTCCCTGCCCCTTGGCACCCCCTCAATATCTTGAAGACAGAGAATGGCCCTACCCTCTGGATCTTTCTTTTCCAGAGGACCCTGGGTGAAAAGAAGTCACCCCAGTGACTGTTGGAGCAGTGCCCCGAGCAACCACCCTTCGTTCTATTCAGGCAGGAATTCAACAAGCTAGAAGAGAGGGTGATTTAGAGGCTTGGCAGTTCCCTGTCAGGATACACCTCCCACATCAACAGGGGAATGTTATGGCTACATTTGAACCTTTTACCTTTAAATTACTCAAAGAGTTTAAACAGGCTATCAATCAGTAGGGACCAGGTTCTCCTTTTGTGATGCATCTGTTAAAGAATGTTGCTACCCCCAGTCAGATGATCCCTTTTAATTGGGACATTCTTACTTAAGCCTGTCTGACTCCTGCTCAATTTTTACAGTTTAAGACCTGGTGAGCAGATGAAGCTTCTACTCAAGCTGTCCACAATGCACAAGCTCAACCTCCAAGTAATATAACTGCAGACCAATTTTTGGGAGTCGGTGACTGGGCTGTGTTAGACGCACAAGTGGTCACGCAGGATGATGCTATAGATCAGCTTAGAGGAGTGTGCATTAGAGCTTGGGAAAAAAATCTCTTCAGGTGGAGAACAATATCCTTCTTTTAGTGCTGTTAAGCAGGGGCTGAAAGAACCTTATGCAGATTTTATAGCTCAGTTACAGGAATCTTAAAAAGGTGATTGCTGATTCGGCTATTCAGGATATAGTGTTGCAGTTATTAGCTTTTGACAATGCTAATCCCGAGTGCCAGACTGCTCTGTGACCTATTAGAGGGAAAGCACATTTGGTTGTTTATATCAAGGCCTTTGACGATATCGAAGGTAATCTACATAAAGCTACTCTGTTGGCACAAGCCATGGCAGGACTGAGAGTGGGTAAAGGAAATGCTCTGTTTCCTGGAGCTTATTTCAACTGTGGGAAACATGGGCATATGAAGAGAGAATGTAGAAAAAATCAGAGGGTTCAACTGCCCATTGTTGGAAAAAAGAAAACTGCTGAACCAGGTCTATGCCCAAAGTTTAAGAAAGGAAAGCATTAGACCAATCAGTGTCATTCTAAATTTGATAAGAATGGAAATGTGATTTTGGGAAACACCGTGAGGGGCCCATCCCAGGCCCTGTTCCAAACCAGAGCATTCCTGGCTCAGGCCACTCCCTCACCCCTGTACAATGCTTGTCCCCTATCACAGCTGGTAGTGCCACAGTAGATCTGTGTTGCACCAGGGCTGTGAGTCTCCTGCCTAGAGAGCCACTGTAGAAAGTACCAACAGAAGTCTGCAGACCTCTGCCAGGAGGAATGGTGGGACTACTTCTGGGAAGATCTAGTTTAAATTTAAAAGGAGGGCAGGTTCATACAGGAGTAATTGACTCAGATTGTAATGGGGAAATTCAAATCATTATATCTACCTCTATTCCTTGGAAGGCAGAACTGGGAAAGCATATAGTGCAGCTTCTGATTTTACCATATGTGAGACTAGGAAAAAGTGAAACTAAAAGAACAGGGGGATTTGGCAGTACAAATAAATAAGGGAAAGCCACCTACTGGGTAAATCAAACTACTGATAAGTGTCCTACCTGTGAAATAACTATTTAGGGAAAGAAATTTAAATGTTTGGTAAATACGGGAGCAGACATTTCAATTGTTTCTCTACAGCACTGGCTGTCCATATGGTCAATTCAACCCACTCAATTCAACATAGTTGGAGTTGCTAAAGCCCCTGAAGTATATCAAAGTAGTTATTTTTGCATTGTGAAGGGCCTAATGGACAACCTGGAACTATTCAACCAATTATAACTTCTGTACCTATAAATTTATGGGGGAGAGATTTATTACAACAGTGGGGAGCACAAGTTCTAATTCCAGAACAATTATACAGCCCTCAAAGTCAACATATGATGCATGAAATAGGGTATGTCCCTGGTTTGGGACTAGGAAAAAATTCGCAAGGTTTGAAGGAACCACTTCAAGTGGAAAAACAAAGTTTCCGCCAAGGCTTAGGATACCATTTTTGATGGCGGCCATTGTTAAGCCTCCAGAGCCTATCTCATTAAAATGGCTGACAGACAAGCCAATATGGCTAGAACAGTGGTCACTGAATAAAGAGAAACTGGAGGCTTTAAATGAACTAGTTAAAGAACATCTTTAAAAAGGACATATAGCTCCAACGATCTTCTCTTGGAATTCCCCAGTTTTTGTAATTAAGAAAAAATCAGGTAAATGGAGACTGTTAACTGACTTAAGGGCCATTAATTCAGTTATACAACCTATGGGGGCATTATAGCCAGGACTGCCTTTTCCTGCTATGATTCCAAAAAAATGGCCTTTAATAGTCATAGATTTAAAAGACTGTTTCTTTACTATCCCCTTAGCTGAGCCAGACTGTGAACAGTTTGCATTTATGATTCCTGTGGTAAACAACCTGCAGCCTGCTAAGCATTTTCATTGGAAAATGTTGCCACAGGGCATGTTAAACAGTCTAACCATTTGCCAGACTTATGTAGGGCAAGCAATTGAACCTACTTATAACACTTCACAGTGTTATGCTATTCATTATATGGATGATATAGTTTGTGCTGCCCCCACTCGAGAAATATTACTCCAATGTTATGATCATTTGCAAAATTCAATTTCTCATGCCAGTTTAATTATAGGTCCTGACAAAATTCAGACTACTATTCTTTACTGCTACTTGGGGACCTTAGTAAATGACACTACAACAGTGCCACAGAAAGTAACCATACATAGGGATCAATTGAAAATGGTGAACGACTTTCAAAAATTACTGGAGGACAATAATTGGATATGGCCTGTTCTAGACATTTCTACTTATGCCATAAGTAATCGGTTTTCTATCCTTACAGGAGACCCTAGTCTCACAAGCCCTCAGCAATTAACAAAAGAAGCTGAGGCAGAGCTGTAGCTAATCAAAAAGCAAGTCCATAAGGTCCAAACAAATAGAATAGATCCAGAGAAGACTCTAGATTTGCTAATTTTTTCAACTCAGCATTCACCTACTGGTGTTATTGTTCAAGAGCAAGATCTTATAGAGTGGCTTTTTCTTCCACATCTTAATTCACGGACTTTGACTCCTTGTTTGGATCAAATCATACTATGATAGGAAATGGGAGAACTCGGATTGTTAAATTACATGGATATGATCCTGGGAAAGTTATTGTCCCTCTCACGAAGGCACAAAAACAGCAAATACAGCAAGCTGTTATAGTGTCTTACTTGGCAAATCCATTTAGCTGACTTTGTGAGTATTCTCGATAACCATTTTCCTAACACAAAACTGTTTCAATTTTTGAAATTAACTAATTGGATTCTCCCTAAAATAACTACATTCAAACCAATTGAAGGTGCTGAGAATGTCTTCACAGATGGGTCTGGTAATGGTAAAGCCTCTTATTCTGGATCAAAAGGTAAAGTTTTTCAGATGCCCTGTACTTCAGTTCAAAAAGCAGAGCTTGTAGCTGTAATTGAGGTATTGACTGCTTTTAATATGCCTATTAATGTGATTTCTGATTCTTCATATGTGGTTCATTCTACACAGTTAGTTGAAAATGCTCAGCTATGAATCCACACAGATGAGCAACTGAAGACTTTATTTACACAATTGAGAACAGCAGTTAGGAGTTAAATGCACCCTTTTTACATCACTCACATTAGGGATCATACACCTCTTCCAAGACCTTTGACTGCAAGGAATCAAATGGCTGATCACCTAGTTGCTACTGCAATATCTAATGCTAGAC